CCAATCCCCAATTCGGGTGGTCCCCATCTTTCTGCAGCCTCCTATGTTGTTACCCTTCCCATAGCCACTCGGCATTATTCCTTTTGCTGTCCTTGGCTCTGAGTCCCGACTACAATCCAGTCTGTTCTCACATCTTCGCGTCCTTCCTCACAAGCCCCCGTATCGACAAGACCCTCGTACGACACCCTAATTACCCAATCGCCCCTCTATTCTCAGAGTCCAAAAAATCACATTGCTCAAAATCTTCTTTGCCCCTTCTTCCTTCTTCCACCTCCCCACTTTACCTTTCCAGTCTTGTACCTAGTTCGTCCCTATCTCTGGCTCTATTACAAGTGTGGGAGAGTCACCCCTCCTCCTTGTACTATTGGCCTTCTCCCCCGTCTCCCCTCCCATGTTTTCTCCCTCTTCGGCACCTCCCAGGTTTCTTGCCTCTTCTGTCCCCCTACAATTCATCTCCAGTTTCTTACACTCTTCCCTCCCCCTCTACTTTGGTACAGTCCATTGACTGTCCCAATCTTACTCACCCTCCTGCCTTCTATCTCCAATATGGTCCTCCATACATCTGTTGAATTCAGAAACATTGAAAGCCATTTCAGAATATATGCAGAGACTAAAACCTTCATGGACACTGATTCACTCATGTTCCTTCTCTTCCCTCTCCTCCATCTTCACAACCCAGTCTTGCAACGCTCCGTTCCTTCGTACTTGAACGTCTTCCCAATGCACCTCAGTTGACTTTTCTAACCCCTTAGTCCGTAGATGCCTTTACACCAGTTCCTGGTATTTTCCGTCATCGCATCCAGGCTATTTTACAGTGGAATATCCGCGGCCTCAGGGGTATCGGGCGGTGGGCTTCAGATGGTGCTTTTTCAGGTTTTCCCCGGTTGGTGCTTGCTTACAAGAACCTAAATTACACTCAGCTGGGTTTTCCAACCTATCTCAGGCTATAATTTATTGTATTCTTCATATCCTTTCTCAGATGGGACGATAATGAAAGTGCCCTCTTCTACGCAATTGCTATTCCGTACTGTCAACTATGTGTCCATACCTCGCTGCATTACATGCAGCACGTATCCACTTGAATAAGTGGTTTACAATATGTTCTTTATTTCTCTCTCCTTCTCGAGCATTTTCTCTCCCAGGACTTTGACCTTTTTGTTCATCCGTACCACCACCACACTTCTGTTACTTGGTGATTTTAATGCCCACCATTTCCTCTGGGGGGGGTTTCATTGTTTGACTCACGTGGCATCCAGTTGGAGGCTTTCTCGCCTCTAACCCCCTCCATGTTTTATATACGGGTAATCCCACCCATTTTTGATCTCTGTAATATCATACTCTCTCTTGCATCGAGCTATCAGTCGGCTCTTCCTCACTGCACTAGACTTCACCCCTGGTTGTTCTCTGGACTTACATTGACAGCGTCATTTCTGATCTTTTCTTACGTCTCCTTCCTATTCACACCTTTCCGTAGCCCTCGCTGGCATTTGATCGGGCCATATTAGGATCTTTACTCACACTCACTGCTTTTAGATGATGGGTCCTTCTTCATCCTCCATTGATGAGTCCCTAACTTCTTTCTCGACGTCAGTTTATACCGCAGCTTCTCATTCTATACCCCAAACCCTCAGGCAGGATTTCAGAAGTGCGTGCCGTGGTGGTCTCCTGCTTGTCGCTCGTGCAGTCGTTTGAAAACGTACTGGCATGGGGCAGGTACCGGTACAATAGAACCGCTGAGAGACTTCTTGATTTTAAGCTGAAGCGGGCGGATTCGCTCGCTGTGTCATCCGTGAAGCTAAACGCACTGTTGGCGGAGACTATGTTTCTCCACCATCACCTCTGCTTCTTCTGTGAGTGCAGTCTGGAAATAGTGAGGAAATTGAGTAGGTAAATACTCTCCTGACCGGCATCCTGTTCTAGGGGTCATGGTGTTGATGTAGCAAACCCTCTCGACGTTGCCCATTGAACTGGCTCACATCTGGTCCGGTTTTCCCGTGGGCTGCGAAGATTCTTGGCCCAGGGGTTTTCTTTCCTCAAAGGTCTGCCTGAGAGTTTGTACCTTGGACGTTCTGCTCTCAAGTGATAGAAAGAACAGGATAAGGTGCCTTTGATCATAACTTCTCAGTACTCGGAAGGAATCTCGCGCTGCGGGCCGATCATTGGCAGGCTGGGCCGCCCTGTCCATACATTGGCTTATGTGTAGTGTGACTAACAGTTTACATCGGTTTCAGCCCTTTGTAGTCCTTATAACCTCTTCATCTTATTGGGCACAAGGGTTCTTCCCCAGTGGGGTGGAAATCTGCCCTTGTTCTCACTTTCCGCAAACCGGGGGGGGGTTATACCCCCCCCCCCCGCAGGGACTTGATGCCTCCCACTATTGCTCCCTTCGCTCTTACTAGGCCAGTTTGCAAAGTGATAGAAGAAGATTGTCCCCCCCCACCCCCCCGTTCTTCCGATCACCCCCCCATAGCACGCCCCCCCCTCCTAAAATGTTGTATTTAGAGACACACAACAGTCTCTCTCCGCTAGTCAATATGGCTTTTGTAATAGGGTCGTTCTACATTAAACCCCTTACTACGCTTGGATACGTATGTTCATATGCCTTTGCGATTATCACTAGGTTATTGCCATATTTTTTGGAACCTTGAGAAGGCATTTGACCACAACTTGGAGGTATAACTATTTTGGCCCAGCCAGTGCCCATTCCTTAGGCTCCGAGGGCAATCTACCATCCTTCTTAAGAACTTTTATTAACTGACAGGAATTTTCAGTGATTCGAGTAATAATGTTCTTTCCCGGACTTTCGTCCAAGCTGAAGGTGTCCTCAGTGGATCGTGTTCTAAGCACAAACACTTTTTCTCCTTGCTATAAATGATTTGGCCTTGTTCTTCCACCCAATATTGTCATCCTCTATGTTGGATGTCATTCGCTATTGCTTGTGCAGGCGCCCTCTCTGACTGTCATATTATTGCAGTTTCTCTTCCAGCATGCGGTTCGACCGTGGTTTCACTTGGGCCACCAGCATGGGTTTAATTTTAAGTACAAAACTCACCAATTACTTTCACTAGACGCTTATCTCCACTCATCCTTTGTATTCTATGGCTCCCGTATCCCCGAAGTGATGCGTCCAGGTTTCTGGCCTTCGCTTTGACCGTAGGTTTCCTGGAAAACTCACTTTTCCTCTCTGAGGCAACTTGTCACAGCCCGGCTAAAACCTTCGTAAAAACCCTTGATCATCTTTCCCCTGAGGGAGCTGACGTCGAATCTGCTCGCCTACATTCACCCCTCGTTTTCTCGAAAACTCGATTTTATGGTGACAATTTATTCCGCGGCCTCTCTGCTACTCTCCTCTAGCCTTAACTCTATCCATCACCAAGGATTACGTTTGTGCCTTGGTGCTTTTCGCTCTTCCCTGTTGAGAGACTCTATACAGAAGCGATTGTTCATCCTTGTCTGATCGCCATGATGCCATTGCCTTCGCTACTATGTACGTTCTCACGATCTACCACAATCCTTCCATTTATAGAATGGTCACGCTATTAGTAGACATTCTTTATTCGTTCGCCGCCCCTGTTTGCTCCGTCCCTTTTCTCTTTCGTTACATTCTCTCTTGTCTTCCCTTCAGGTTTACCACCTAATATGTTCATGTAGCATTTCACTTTTCCCTACCCCCCTGGGAAGTTCAGCTGTTCGGGTCTGTTCTTTCTCACTCCTGCTCGAAAGCTCAATGCCTACGGTTGGCTTTCCCGCTCTTCTTTTCTTGATCACTTTCCACTCCCATTCTCATTGCCACCGCTGTGTACACAGATGGCTCTAAGTCTTCAGACGGTGTCGGATTCGCAGCAGTGTTTCCGGACAGCGTCGTGCGGGGGCATTTACTATCTTCAGCTAGCATTTTTACTGCTGAACTGTATGCCATTCTTGCAGCACTTATTCGTATCGCATCTATGCCTGTGTCATCATTTGTAGTAGTCTCAGACTCCCTTAGTGCTCTACAGGCTATACGAAAATTTGATACATCTCATCCCCTAGTTTTCCGTATCCAACTTTGGCTACGCCGTATCTCTACCAAACATATATTGTTTTTTGTTGGGTCCCTGGTCATGTCGACGTACAGGGCAATGAACAGGCAGACACTGCTGCGCGGTCAGCAGTACATGACCTACCAATTTCCTATCGAGGTGTTCCATTTCTGGACTATTTTGCTGCAATAGCTACCCACCTTCGCACCCGTTGGCAACAACGTTGGTCAACTCTGCTCGGTAACAAACTTCATTCTATTAAACCGAGCATAGGTTACTGGCCGTCTTCTTGTCATCAGTGCCGAGGTTGGGAGACCACTCTCTCCCGCCTTCGCATTGGTCACACTTGTCTTACTCATGGGTATCTCATGGAGAGGCACCCTGTTCCTCTCTGTGAGCAGTGTCAAGTTCCAGTATCGATTAGCCACATTCTGTTAGACTGCCCTCTCTATCAACGAGCACGCAGAATTTACCTCCGTCGTCGTCTTTGTTCTACTACTCTCTCTTTACCTTTCCTTCTTGCTGATGGACCCTCCTTTAATCCTGACTCTCTCATTGACTTCTTGACAACGACTGATTTACTCCACAAACTCTGATGATACTTTTCGCTCTCCCCTCAGCCCTTTCTAGTTCAGTCTCTTGCTGCCCTTTACCCTTTCACCATCCACTACCCCGCTGTTATCTGTAACCTATTACTCATCCATCTCCCTTTTGCCACCTGATGCCCTCGCTTCCTTCCTGCCCTGCTGCGCTGTATAGTCCTTGTGGCTTAGCACTTCTTTTTGATTATAATAATAATGTGCTAATTATTCTAATAATAATCAAAAAGAAGCGCTAAACCTACAAGGGTCATACAGCACAGTAGTGTGCTAAATGGTGGATAAGGTTATGAAGAGGAATCAGCTGTGTAGTTGGGATCTTAAATCAGTAAGACCATATTCATTCGATTTTATCTTTAATGATGATCATTTTCTTCAGGTGGAATGGATAATTGTGTGAAGCTGTGGGATTTCAGTCGTGTTCTTGAGGATAACCATGAAGATGACATAAATGTGTCTAACAACCCAGACATAAAACGCTGCAATGAATCTCTCTTGCTGGGCACATTTCCAACGAAAAATACTCCAGTGCTTGCAACACACTTCACAAGACGAAATGTACTTTTGGCTGCTGGACCATTTGACGGGTGATGTATATAATGAAAGCAATGTACAGTACCTGTATATATTTTATTTAAGCATAATTTCATTTCATTTAATGTTTGTTCATATTTACACTGCATCATTTCAGTGATGTACAAAGCAATATGTTTTACATTACCCTTTTTTCCAAGACAGGATGATCCAGACAGAAAAACACATTCACTGCCACTCATTAAATATTACAAGTTTTGTGCTTAGTCTGACCATATTATTATTAAATATATTTCATTACATTCATTGGGAGGGGGGGGGGAGCACTAAACCTGTAGGGGTCCTACAGCACCTGAGGTCAGATCCTTGGATCAAGAGTCCCTCACAGGCATCAAGGAACCTCTCTTGAGAGGCACTCATTCAATAGCTTTTGACAGAATAGTGCATTATTATATTTATAAGGGGGACCACGAAACCCGTAGGAGTTGTACAACACCCAGGGTAATAGTGAGGAAATAAGGTTCAATGCAAGGAACTGGAATAATATCCAATTTCTTTGATCCAGATCCCCTCACTGATAGCAAGCCACCACTCTGGAGGGGGCCAGGATAGTGCAGACATACTTTAAGTGATATACATGATAGTGTGTACTGTACAGTATATAAAGCCAATAAACAACAATTTTTGTCAGTGTATTATTTCTTCAGCCTTTAATTTGTAATTGCCAGATATGTTTTGGTGTTAGTTTGTACACTGTATTATAGTCATGGGTAAGCACTAAACCTGTAGTAGTCATATAATGCCTACATACACTACCCTGATTACCTGTTTGTATTTATGGAAGAGCTATGTTCATGGCATTGTATCATCAATGTACTATTGCAATTATGTACAAGCATCATCTACAGATGGCTAACAATGGACAATGCATTTTTCTAGCAGTTTTGATACATGCCATTTATTTGGTATAGGACTGAACTGTTTTAATCATGCTAAGTGCTGATCCCAATAGGGTCATAGTAGTACTGTGAGGAGGGACATGCAGAAGTTGGAATGTACTCGCCAATATATGGCTGCACAGGGTTGTCTTAGCTCCTGGCCCTGCCTCTCGACTTGTTGCTTACTAGTCACTCCTAGCCTTGTGGGCCCCATCATACCTGCTCTTAAAGCTACATATAGCCCCTGCCTTCACCCATGTACAAAAGTTCAGAGTGAGGGGTAGGGGTTAGTACAAGAGGAAAATGGAAATCAGAGTTGGTGCAACAATTTAGTTTAAAACGTTGGAGTGGGCATCAAAGGTGGGACTTAAAGCTAGGTCAGATAGCCTGTTGGCGGTGTACATGTCAGAGATGAATCCTGCATACCCAATGATACACAGGATGATCTATTAAGATGGTGGACAGATAGTACAATCTGACTGTCCTCACACGAGTGCTGGTAGTTTCTCCGTGAAGTATCGGTGAGCATGACAAACATGTCCAACGTGTATAAATGCGAGTGCAGTCTACCCAACCTGTCAGCAGCGGGAGATGGCCAGAATCCTAAATGTGGTTTGATGGAAAACAATTTGTGGTCCAACACTTGCAATGAAAGCATTGAAAATGGCAAAGAAACATCCATGGAAAGTTGGGAGGTCACAAATAGCTGACCAAGTGGCTGAGTACTCGTTTGCCCTGAACACTGGGACCCAGACGAAAAAAGTATTTAATAGAAGTACAACACAACCAAAGCTGTATATAAAGAACAATGGGGTGAGATACTGTCATTGTATGACATTTATTTCACAGCAGCACCTATAATGTCTTTGCACTTTAATGTTTAAAAAGCCCAGTTTTTTAGTTTTGTTTATTTTCTTCTATAGTACAAGCAAAAATCAGATAATGCAGAAGGATATCATGGACCAGGTCAAAAGTAAAAAGTGTATAAAAACTAAAGAAATAGATGAAATAACCAAGAGAGGAGGTGAAAGTTCATAAATTAAAGGAGGTAGCTAGGGTGAGATATAAGCAATTGTTGGCAGATTATTATAATCATGGGGAGCGCACAAAACCCGTAGGATTATAGAGCACACATGGGGGGGGGGGGGGGGAATGGAAGGTATTCAAGATCAGTTCTGGGAACCGGAGCACGGATCCAATTCCCTAGATCAAGAGCTCCTCAACAGCATCAAGGAACCTCCCTTGAGGAGAATTGTTGAAGAGGTATGGGACAGATTTAAAAATGCAGTGTTTGAATGTGCAGCAGAAGTCTGTTGATATTGGAGGGTGGGTGCAGGAGGGAATAGGAGTGATTAGTGGAATGATGAGGTAAAAGGTAGTGGTAAGGAAGAAAAAGTTAGCATGATAGGTTTTTACAAAGCTTAGTGATATAAGGAGGGTGAAGTATACAGAGTAAGAGGTTGAGTGGTGAGGAAGTGTAAAAGAAGAGCAAATGAGTGGGTGAGGTCTGACAACAAATTTTGCTGAGAATAAGAAAAAGGTTTGGAGTAAGATTAAACAGGTTGAGAAAGCCTAGTGAACGAGTTAAAAAAAAAAAAAAAAAGTTTAATGGGGGAGTTGAAGGTATTGGGAAGTTAGCATGAATATTATGAAGAGTTGTTGAATGCTGATGAAGATTTATTTCATGCATTGACCAAGCCAAGAAGGAATAACATCATTTAAGATTGAGGAAGAGCCAGAGGCAAGTGGTGATGGTGTGTGAGGCAGAGTAAAATCGCTGGGATTGATGGGATGAAAACAGAAATGTTATAAGCAGGCGAGGATATATTATAATTAAAACCAAGCACTAAACCCATAATGGTCATACAGTGCAGGTGAGGATTTAATTCTTAAGTGCTTGGTACTTTTGTTCAATAAATGGATGAAAGAGGGTAAGGTACCTATGGAATGACAGAGCCTGTATATAAAGGAAAAGGAGGTAGACCAAGCATTTACACATTGAAGCATAAAAGTAAACAATATTTAGATATAGGTAAGTAGGTTGTTGCATTCACGGAGTAAGAAAAGTCATACAAGACGGTGGACAGGGAAGCAATGTGGCAGATGTTGAACGTGTATGGACTAGGTGGTAGGTTGCTGAAAGCAGTTAGTTTTTATGAGGATAGCGAGACTCGGGTTAGGGTATGTAGGAGAGAGGGAGATTATTTTCCAGTAAAAGTATGCATGTCACCATGGTTGTTTCACATATTTAGAAATAGGGTTGTAAAAGTCAATGTTAGGGTGTTGAGGAGAAGTGTGGGATTAAAATATGCAGAATAATAGGAAATGGGAGTCGTCACAGATGCTTTATGCCAACGACACTGCTTTTGGGAGACTGTAAAGACAAGTTGCAAAGGCTGGTGGATAGATATTTGGGAGTTGATGTGTCAGCAGATGGGTTTATGAAGGATGAGGTTAACCACAGAACTGATGAGGGAAAAAAGGTGAGTGGTGCACTGAGGTATATGTGTAGACAAAAAAACATTATCAATGGAGGCAAAGAAGGGAATGTATGAAAGTATAGTGGTACCAACGCTCTTATATGGGTGTGAAGCTTGGGTTGTAAATGTTGCAGCTAGGAGGCGGTGGAGATGTCCTGTCTAAGGGCAATGTATCGTGTAAATATTATGCAAAGAATTTGAAGTGTGGAAATTAAGAGGTGTGGAGTTAATAAAAGTATTAGTCAGAGGGCTAAAGAGGGGTTGTCGAGGTGGTTTAGTCATTTAGAGAGAATGGATCAAAGTAGAATGACATGGAGAGCGTAAAAATCTGTAGGGGAAGGAAGGCGGGGTAGGGGTTGTCTCGAAAAGGTTAGAGGGAGGGGGTAAAGGAGGTTTTGTGGGCGAGGGGCTTGGACTTCCAGCAAACGTTCATGAGCGTGTTAGATAGGAATGAATGGAGACGAATGGTTTTTGGGACCTGACGAGCTGTTGGAGTGTGAGCAGGGCAATATTTAGTGAAGGGATTCAGGGAAACCAGTTATTTTTATATAGCTGGACTTAGAGTTCTGGAAATGGGAAATACAATGCCTGCACTTTAAAGGAGGGGTTTGGGATATTGGCAGTTTGGTGGAATGTGTAATAGGATGGTATATATATAATTGGGGCCCTAATATTGTAATTATTTCAGGTCACTTTTTATATTGTATCTTTATATATGCTTCTAAACTGTTGTATCTGGGTGCCTCTGCAAAAACAGTGATTATGTGAGAGTGAGGTGAAAGTGTTAATGATAATGAAAATATTTTAATTTTGGGGATTTTCTTCCTTTTTGGGTCACCCTACCTAGGTGGGAGACGGTCGACTTGTTCAAAAAAAAAAAAGGGGGGTAAAGGTCAACAATTTAGGTAATAAAAGGCTGGATATCAGATTGGAAGGAGGGAGTTTGGAGGAAGTGAATATGTTCAGATATTTGGGAGTGGATTTGATGGCAGATGGATATATGAAAGATGAAGTGAATGATAAAATTGATAAGGGGGAAAAAAGTGGGTGGCGCATAGAGGCATCTGTGGAAACAATGTTATGCATGGAGGCAAAAAGAGGAATGTACATAAGTATCGTGGTACCAACACTCGTATACGGGTATGAATCATGGGTTGTGAATGTTGCAGTGTGGAGGCTGGAGGCAGTGGAGATAGCATGTCTGAGAGCAATGTGTGGTGTAAATCTTATGCAGAGAATTTGTAGCTTGGATATTAGGAGGTGCTAGGTTACCAAAAGTATTATCCAGAGAGATGAGGAGAGGCTGTTGAAGTGGTTTAAACATTTAGAGAGGATGGAGAAAAATAGGATGAACTGGAAGGGGTGTATAAATCTGTAGTGGAAGGAAGGCAGGGTAGGGGGTCACCCTAGAGAAAGGTTGGAGGAAGTGAAGGCAGTTTTGTACGAGGGGCTTGGACATCTATCAAATGTGTGTGAGCATGTTAGATAAGGGGAGGCAAATGGTTTTTGGGAATTGACAAGCTATTGGAAAAGCAGTTCTGATCAGCCGTGTGGCTGTACGGGTGGTTTGCGTGCAGCCGCGCAACAGCTGGTGATCAGGCGCTGATCCACAGGAGGCCTGGTCCAGACGGGCGCGGGGGCGTTGACCCGAAACTCTTCAGGTAAACTCAGACAAATCTGAGTCCAGTGCTTGCACTCTGAAGGAAGGGTGGGATATTTGCAATCTGGTGGGGCACTTGAAGTGTAGTATCACTGCACCTCTGGCAAAACTAATAGAGTGAATGATGGTGAAAGTGTTTCTTCTCTTGGGCCACCCTATCTCAGTGGGAGATGGCAGCATTAAAAAGAAAAAAAAATGATACCTCAGTGCTGTATTTTGTTCAAATGAAATATTGTACTAAAAAAATAAACATTTACTCATTCCTGAATAATTATTGCATTAATAAAGAATACAATCTGCTTTAAATCACCTGTCAATAAAAAAAATGCTACAACTGCAACATTCACAAATTGTCATTTTTGTACCTCTAAGGTACACTCAGTATCAGTGTGTATATATACAGACATGGATGTTTTTCCACATACATATACAAATGAATTTTAATTACACAGACATCCAAGACCAATTTTACTAAGAAATAAAACTAATTTTAATTTAATAATTTTATTATTTATAATAGGTACTTTTAACTGTACAAGATCGCTGTCTGACTTTGTAGTTCAGTGTACACACAAAAAAATTATCAGTTGGGCCTGGCTTGACAACTGTAAATATCCCAAATGGATGTTACACACAAATCAAGCATAAGGATCAAACACCCCCAGGCACAACTGAGCATAGCAAATATGACATGCCAATCAAGTTTGACCCTTACAGTATGTCGAGAAGGATAACGGAAGAGGAAAAAGTTCAAACTTAATGGGTAAAGTTCATGGTTGCTGGTGTTTTCATATATTAATAGGTTAAATGCCTCACAATGGTCATGCCATGGTGACAAACTACAATCTGACCAGATAGTCAGATGAGCATGATTCTTTCAATAAGCCGTTTAAATTATATGCTGTATACTTTAAATAGCACTGTATATGATGAAAATTATGACTACCTACAATACTGAAGGTTCTTACAAAATATTTTCAGGGTAAAAACACGACTGCAATATTTCTGCTTTGTTCGGCACACCACAAATGGACATTTTCATTCTTACAGCACTTAATTGGCCATTAGCATCAAATAACAGTATGAAGAAAAGGAAAGGGGAGGGGTGGGGGGGACTCATGAGGCAATAAGATGAAATTTGGGCAACAAAATACACAAATACCAATTTCTAGCAGAATAATAATTTATGCATTAGTTAAAAGTTTTTACAGCTCCACTGGATTAAAAGTGTCCTGTGTTTAAATCACAGCAAAATGACATATCCAAAAGGTTAAGACTTGTGAGGCATCAATAACCAACTACTTGCTGCCACCTTTGTCTTGCTACCCAAATGCAGTCTTGCCTCCTCTGATAGCAAAAAAGAAAAAAAAAAAGAGAAAAAATATTTATATATATATATATATACTGACATTGTTCCCTACTATATAAAAAGAAACTTAAATAATTAATATACATTATTATCACATGGCCAATCATGGTCAAGCATAAGATGTGACTATACTTTTTAGTGTGATGGTATATTGTGAACAAAAAATGCTAGGTGAATAACAAATGCTCACAGTTCCATGTATGACCATGTTAGCTAGAAATCAACGCCAAGATTGGCAATTCCTCACACAACATGCTGTCCAAGTCAGATTGATGGTTGGAGTTACGGGTCGTGAACCCTGATACAGAGGACATGCAGTCAACATACTGTACAACAAACACTTAACTACCAGTTCCATATATTACTGATAAACTGTATTAACATGACATTCTTCTCTCCTTCCACTTTGATGAGCAGATTTCAACTGTTGAGGCATAATGTTTCTCACTTTGTGGGTAGGCAAGAAACACCACTTGAACCTCATCGTCACCTATGGTGTTCACAAAGTTTTCTTAAAAATGTCTAACATTTATGCTTGCAGGTTTGGGTGGGGGAATTTGCTACAGTTGATAAATAATGGAAATGACATTACAATGTGCAAATGATACCAATAGATCAAAATCAAAAAGAAGTACAACAAATTTCAAACTATATGAGCTCATATGAGGTCCTGCAGTCAAGCAGCCTGAGAAAAGCTTAGGTGTGATTCTAGGTATGAAAAAAAAAAAAAAATGATGAGGATGTAAATTTTATAGAAAAACCATCACACAGTCATTAATGAGTACCATTATGGTTATGGTTTTGAATCTTAAAACCTGACACAGATTAACTGAGAAATGACTAAGTTTCCAAAATTAGCTGATTTTTGTTATTAAAGTTGAGACCCATGCATAAATTTGAACCCAGGAATGTTGCAATCTTCAAGTCCAATGGGAAAAAGTGAGCTACCAGCAGCTGGGTATCATAACTTACACTAGCATCACATTGTTCCACCTGAAATAAAAGAAAGTCTAGTCACTGGTATTTTAAAATATAAAATATTTTAAAGTAGATTCCTATCAATCTAGTACAAAAATGAAGAATGAAATATGACACTGTACAAACTAGAAAAATGTTACAAAGCTAGTCAGAAAATTATCCCCATCCACTGGATAATAATATTCCCTGTAAAGACATTTGCTCTGACAATTCTAATGTTGCTTTATTAATTTAGGGTAGTCTTGAAGATTAGCAAAAAACTTACCCACTGAAATGTTTAAATGTATGAAGGGCTTACACAAAATACAAGCAAATCTTTCACCTTTAAGTAATGGATAAAATTCACTAAAAGCACATTCTACAGCAGGCATAATACTGATAATTAACAATGACACAGGAGTATAACACTGCCTATGAGCAAGCAAAAAGGAAATGCATTTACCATCATTCATTCAATAGCTGTCTTCCCAGTACGTAGTTTGCAAACTTTACAATTCAAATGACCCTTTGAACATCATCCCCACCCCTGCCTCAGTGCAGGCATTGTACTTCCTACCTCCAACAGCCAAGTCCAGCTAATGTTGGAAAAAACGAACATAAGAACAGACAGTTTACCTTTTTCTTTTTTAATCGTGTAGTGTTACTGACATTTTTCTAGTTATGATAAAGGCTAAAACCATTAGATATATCCTCATTGGTTAACAGAAAAAAAATGACACGAAAACCACAAACAGGATATGGCGAGGCAGGAAGAAAAGGCCAAATGTTACAAATAGTGTAGAAATGCAGAAGGGATGCTAGAAAGTTCTTAATAGAGTGGTAGAATAATAGAACAAGTTACTAGTGGAAGTAATAAGTACTATAACTGCTGGAAGGAAGGTAGTAGGTTGGTAGACAGCAAGTGCCCAGGGAAGTACAGTGGACCCTCGGGTAAAGGCTTCATCGGTTAGTGCCAAAATCGGCCAACAGCTTGCTTTGGCATAAAAATATTAGCTAACGCCAAATAACTCGGTTAACAGCTTTTGTCCCGAACCTATCCGTGTGGCCTGAGCGGGCCTGGCTACTCACTCCGTGTACAGCCAGTGTGCCATTGTTTACAAAGCCAGTGAGGACGATTCCAAGTGTACATGCGATATATTTTGTATTATTCCAGTGTTTATAGTGCTTGTAACTGCTAAATAAGCCACCATGGGCCCCAAGAAAGCTTCTAGTGCCAACCCTGTGGTAAAAAGGGCGAGGTGTACTATCAAATTAAAAAAAAGAGATAATCGCAAAGTATGAGAGTGGAGTGCGTATCTCGGAGTTGGAAAGGTTACATAACAAACCCCTAAGAGAGTTCTGGAAAGATCACTTCAGTATCCTCAATTGCATAAACCTTATAGGTAATGCTTGGGAGGGAGTGACTTGCAGAACTTTGAACTCTGCTTGGAGAAAATTGCATACAAGAGGGATTTTGAAGGGTTTGGGGGCCAAGCCTCAGGAGACTATGCCAGTTGTGGAATCTATTATGGCATTCAGGGAAGTCCATGGGGTTGGAGGTTAGTGGTGAGGATGTGGAAACGTTGGCGGAGGACAACGATGGAGAGCTAACCACTACAGAGCTGCAGGTGCAACAGCAACAGATCACAGCTCAGAAATGTGCTTCAGAGGAGGAGGAGGAAGTTGCCTTCATCAAAGATTAAGGAAATGTGTACAATGTGGACAAAGTTGCAAGCACTTCGGATGAATACTATCCTGATGCAGCTGTTGCAAGCCATATTGGCAACATGTACAATGACACTCTTGTGTCCCATTTTAGGGAAATCTTAGAGGGATGTGAGAAACAGAGCTCTCTGGTCCAATATTTTGTGCGACAGGGTCCAGTGACTCAAGTTATTCCCAGTGGCATTAAAAAACCAAGCAAGAAGGGAGGTAACCCCCAGAAAAGGATTTGTTACCTGAAGTCTTTATGGAAGGGGATTCCCCTTCCAAACACTAGTACACCTTCATCCTCTCCCCTCCTCCCATCTCATCACTCATCAATAAGTCCGCAATAAAGGAAAGTGTCATTTCAGTATTGTTTATTGTGCATGTATCATTGTTTTCTGTATAGGGAAATGTACATTTCATGTAAAAAAAATTATTTTGTTTAATACTTTCTCATGGGGAAAATTAATTCAGCTAAAGGCTAGCTCTCTGGAACGGATTAAAGGCGTTACCCGAGGGTCCACTGTACTACTGTCCTGCCAAGTGAGTAAAATGAAAGCCAGTACAGGTCTCCCTCAACATTTGCATTTTCAACTTTCGCGGGCTTCACACATTCGCGAATTCCCAACCACCAAATAATATTTATGTTGAGGACATTGATAGAGGCATAATTCCCTACAAAACTCTGTAAATATGAAGAAACGGTCTCAGTTCCCCATCACAATGCTCTTTACAAGGAAGCCTGCCACAACAGTCCCCAACCCTTTACCCAAGGTCCTATCTATGCTAAAACCTTGGGTAGTTTCAAATTTAGGTTGGATAAATACATGAGTGAGAGGGGTTGGATCTGAGTGGGACCTGCGCGTGAGTAAATAGAATTATCAAAGAATGGCTGGATTTGAGAGGGACATGACCTCCCAACGACTACATTCTTACCTCTACTAGTGGCCTACATCTCGCCTCCTGGCAGTATGTAAGGCTCCATCCTGTCACTTCGCCTCCATATTGTATCAAACTATGGAACAATACTCTTTTCCAGACTGAGGGACTGACCACCTTAAAACTTAAAGGGTGATGGATTGATTACATCATCTTCAAGTCTCTTCTGCTTCTATTAACTTTTCTGTACTCGACTGAAGAAGCCTACTGTGTAGATGAAACGTTTCGAAATAAAGATACCTAACTGTTGCCTATGTGTCTTACCTAACAACCTGTCGGTTGGTAGGTAAGACACATAGGCAACACAGTTCCAGACTTTGGAACAGAACTTCTCTAGGCTGAGGGACTGACAACCTCAAATCTACGACTTCAAGGGTGATGGACTGATTACATCGTCTTCACATCTCTACTGCTCCTGCCTACTTTCTGTACGCGACTGAAGAAACCTACTTTGTAGGTGAAACATTTCGGAATAAAGTTGCCTAAATGTTGCCTAGGTGTCTTACCTACCAACCTGTCGGTATTGTATATCATTTTGATATTCAACCTGTCGGTATTTTATGCCATTTTAATATTCGACTGAAGAAGCCTACTGTGTAGGCAAAACGTTTCAGAATAAAGTTGCCCAAGTGTTGCCCATGTGTCTTACCTACCAACCTGTCGGTATTGTATGCCATTTTGATATTCGGTAGGCCTGTTGGCCCATATTAGGCAGGTCCTTCACAATTCATCCCGCTAGCAGAATATATGCCCACCCCAATTTTCAATGCTACCCAAGCAATAAGAACATAAGAAAGGAGGAACACTGCAGAATAAACGGTACCCAAGCAATTAGTGTTGACAATTCTATTTACTCACATGCAAGTCCCACTCAAATCCAACACCTTTCACTCATGTACTTATCCAACCTAAATTTGAAACTACCCAAGGTTTTAGCTTTGAAAATTCTGTTTACTTACGTGTTAAAACCTTGGGTAGTTTAAAATTTGGGTTGGATAAATACACAAGTGGAAGGGGTTGGATCTCGGTGGGACTTGCACACTTATTGCTTGGGTAGCATTGAAAATTGAGTTGGGGAAATATTCTGTTAATGTGATGGATTTTGAAGGACCTGCCTAGTATGGGCCAGCAGGCCTCCTCCAGTGTTCCTCCTTTCTTATGTTCATATTATCTTATAATCATACTAGGCAGACTGTTCCACTCACTGACATAAGAAAGGAGAAACACTGCAGTAGGCCTGTTGGCCTATACTTGGCAGGTCCTTCACAAATCCAACCCACTAACAGAATAAATGCTATCCAAGCAATAAGTTTTGATAATTCTATTTACTCACGTCCAAGTCCCACTCAAATCCAACTCCTCTCACTGACATATCTCTCTTTTTTCTTTCAACACACCAGCCATATCCCACCGAGGCGGGGTGGCCCAAAAGAAAAAACGAAAGTTTCTCCTTTTACATTTAGTAATATATACAGGAGAAGAGGTTACTAGCCCCTTGCTTCCGGCATTTTAGTCGCCTCTTACAACACGCATGGCTTACGGAGGAAGAATTCTGTTCCACTTCCCCATGGAGGTAAGAGGAAATAAACAAGAACAAGTAAGAAAAATGGAAGAAAACCCAGAGGGGTGTGTATATACATATATGCTTGTACATGTATGTGTAGTGTGACCTAAGTGTAAGTAGAAGTAGCAAGACGTACCTGAAACCTTGCATGTTTATGAGACAGAAAAATGGACACCAGCAATCCTACCATCATGTAAAACAATTACAGGTTTCCGTTTTACACTCACTTGGCAGGATGGTAGTACCTCCCTGGGCGGTTGCTGTCATCCAACCTACTACCTAGGACCAACCTACTACCTAGGTATTTATCCAACCTAAATTTGAAACTCTCCAAGATTTTAGCTTCGATTGGAACTTATTTTTTTATTATCACACCATCATTCACTCCATCACTGTCTTGCCAGAAGGGAGATTTACACTACAGTTTTTAAACTGCAACATTAACACCCCTCCTTCAGAGTGCAGGCACTGTACTTCCCATCTCCAGGACTCAAGTCTGGCCTGCCGGTTTCCCTGAACCCCTTCATAAATGTTACTTTGCTCACACTCCAACAGCACGTCAAGTATTAAAAACCATTTGTCTCCATTCACTCCTATCAAACACGCTCACGCAGGCCTGCTGTAAGTCCAAGCCCCTCGCACACAAAACCTCCTTTACCCCCTCCCTCCAACCTTTCCTAGGCCGACCCCTACCCCGCCTTCCTTCCACTACAGACTGATACACTCTTGAAGTCATTCTGTTTCGCTCCATTCTCTCTACATGTCCGAACCACCTCAACAACCTTCCTCAGCCCTTGGACACAGTTTTGGTAATCCCGCACCTCCT